GCAATTAGCATCTCTCGGGCTTTGAAATCTGCCACCATTTGCACTTGCAAAGTTAACTGAAAGTCGATTATTAATAATAATGCTTTTCAGCAGATTCAGGTTTTTTTTTTAAACCTATCATTCACTATTTTACTGAGTTATTCAGGTAAGAAAAATATTTTTGGTGCGAGTACTTAATATTTGGATTATCTTTTGTGCTTTTGATTTTACCGAATTAGATTCAGATTAGCTGAGATCATAAAATTATAAAATATTTCCTGGAGAGACCTGAGGCCACAATGCACGAAGGACACTGTTTTTGGTGTTAACTACCTAATCCAAACCAAGACGTCAATAATAATTAGGAATCTATTTTGTTTTCGTTGGCGTTAGGCCAACAAATAATCTAAATATTTGGCTTTATATACTTTATGACGTTGGATAATTCCCCCCACATCACCCACTCTTAGCCTTAACGCACTTTTAATTAAATGCCAAATATTAATCCCAAATCCATTCCTAAGTCACAAACATGGGATTCAAATTTTAATCACTCAATTTTGGTTAAAAAAAATCACTCAATGAAATTTTTTACCACTTATGCAAATCCGAGTAAGAATATGAAACTAAAAATAGTACCTTCAGTTTTAATTATAAGATCTCGTTTATTATTTATAAATAGAATGTTATAATTAACACCCGGAGGTATTATAATCAAAATACTGGGAATGAGAGAAGAGCGGATAGATAAGCCAAATTGGCTTGTGTGATGGGGATGCCACGTGACCCGTTTCAAATCGGAGTCAAAACAAAACAATCGAATTCCAAACATTTTGTTTGCGCATAAAAAAAATTTCCATCTATTTATGACACCCCATGATTTGTTGGCCTCATCTGGGGGTAGGTTGGTCCTCAAATTAGCTCCCTCCATAAATGATTAAATTCCTCAATCCAGACATTTTCTTACATTGCGAATAAGGAATACCGCAAAGAAATTGATCGGATAAAATGGAATTCATGCATAATTGCATTAAAAATATATTATATTTTTTTTGAAAAAGTTATATGTTGTGTTAATACATATCTTGGGATTATTGTGTGTAAAATAACATTATGAGAAATCCAAGATATAGATACGATGAGAAAAGTGATAGAAATTACAGATATTATTGGAATATACTATGAGATACTCCTCCGGTCGGACCTAATTAGAAGGTTGATCTTGATCTTAGATATAAGACTTATTTTTCGTATTTACCAATTTTTTTTCTAAATTATCACTGCCACAATAATACTTATTAACAATAATATACCTATATATTTTATAAAGTGAGTGAGTATTTATTACTTATTCATTCCACACATACATCAATTTTACCATTTTATATTTTTAATAAAGTAATTTAAAACATTTTTTGAAATGTTAGTTTTTTAAGAAGTTTAAACTAAGACTTTTGAGAAACATATGTCATATTTATGATTATTATCTAATTTAACTAATTTTTTAATTTAATCAAATAGTTAAACATGTCTTATATTAAGAACCGGATGAGTATTATATACAAAATTGCCTTCCGCATTCGAAGTTTCGAACTGTAACCCAATCGTAACATATTGCATTATTATTTTTCTAAATTGAGTCCACGATTTCAAAAAACCAAAAAAAGGGTATCAATACAGAATAAATTCAAATCGGTAGTGTCACAGTAAGGGTGTGTTTGGTATGAGGGATTTGGAAGGGAGGGGAGGGGAGGGGAGGGATTTTAATCATTTTCTCTTATTTGGCAACACACAAATTTTAGGAGGGGAGGGAAAATTTTTTAAAAATTTCCCCTCCCCTCCCCTCCTCAACCTCCCCTCCAAAATTGGGAGGATTTGGAGGGAAAATGCAAAAATTTTGTCATATTATGACCATTATGCTCATATTTTATCAGTTGTGACCATTATGTTTATATTTTGTCATGTGTGACATTATGCCACGCCTTTAAATAAAATAAGAGCAAAAATTGTCCATTTTAAAATATTTTTCCCTCCCTCCCCTCTTTTTTTATAAATCCAAACAAGGTGATATTAAATCCTTCCACTCCCCTCCCCTCCCCTTCCCTCCATTAAAAATCCCTCCCCTCCCCTTCCTCTCATTGAGCCAAACATACCTAAAAGTTTTTGTTGGTAGAGTGGAATGGACATCATTAAAATCATTGAGTTTGGTATGAGCAATGTGGTTGGATATTGATAAAGCAGCACTAAAAGTCATACCCTTTAGTTGTAAAGGTCTTCGTCAACACTTCCAAAAAATCAACTCATTTTTTATGTAACATTTGATGAGGTCAGTATGTGAACTTCGCTCTTTTTTTAAAAAAAAAAAAATTTTCTTTCTATCTTTGTATATATATGGTCAGTAATCAGTAACGTAGTATTAGATCTTCATGTTGCCAGATTAACAACAAAATTTCAGCTCTCAGAATTCAAAAGTTTAAAAGAAACAGGGTCCTTTTTGCCTGATATATTGGTTCTGGTGGGTTAGGTATGCTTTTACAATCTAATACATAAATTTCAACTGATTCTGAACATTTCTCATTTACATGTGCTTTTACTTCGATAACTTGAGAGGCCCCATGCTAACCCACTTCATTAATTATGTCTCTTTGATTTTTCTTCGTGCCTTTTGAGTAAGCAAGATAAAATTAAAAAAAAAATCAAGCAGGGAATCTTATAATGAAATACATATAAAATTAGGTTCATCACTTCTCCAAAGGCTTGCTATAATAAAAAGAGTAATTAGCAACGGGATCAAAATGGAAGAGACTATTTGAGCAAGATATTAAGCTTGCATCTATGAATGAGAAGAATATCTTATATAAGAAAACAGATCTGAACAAGGATTCATTGTTTTTTAACAAATCTAGTGTAATTATTTTATACTCCCTCAGTTCCTTATTATAAGAGACAAACAACCGAATTACGTTGATCAAATAAACAGTTAAAATTAGTTAAGAACAATCAATGTGTAAAAAGTATAATTTTTTTTTTTCAAAAATACCCTCATTAATAAGGAGAGAGAACATGAAAGAGAACAATGGTAAGTTATTAAAAGAAAGAGAAGTGGGAAGGAGAGAGAGTGTGAGTTGGAGACAATAAATATAGATAAAATAGGAAATCAACACAAAAAAGTAGAGACAACTTTTAAGTGTCTCTTATATATAGGAACATGCCATAAGCATCAAATGTCTCTTATAATAAGGAACGGAGGGAGTATTAGTTATGTAGGCTTTCTCCCCATTTAGAGTAATATTTTATATAAAACATTATTAGAAAAAGGAAAAAATTACAGACCCCAGAAAATCCATTTCATATATTGCTTCTAATGCACTGATTAATGATTATTTATTTAGCAAAAGATTAGCCTTCCAAGTCAAGGCATCTTCCACTCCTCCTTCTGTAAGTACTGCCCCTGCCCTCATCTATTTATGAAGCAATCACTAACATCATGCTTTGTGGTTAAAATAATGAAGTAAATAATCTCTTCTTTGCCACAGAATTACACTGATAATGCGAGTTAAAATTAAAAAGATAATTAAAAAATGAATCTAATGCCGGACGTGTATATATGAGTACCTGATGATCCTTTGAAACTCAAATAAAATTATACGGGTTATTTCATTAATAATATTTTATATAATTACAAGACAAACAGTAGATAGCATTATTAGTAGTCTATTCAATAAAAGTTGATGGCGAAAAGGTAGAAACCGAGCATATGGCTTGCTTGTACCCAAAAGCAAACAGTGAAACTAACAAATGCAATCCAATCCACTGCCTTGTGACACGTTTATCTTTTGGGTAACCTTTGCACTAAAGTAAGGATGCTGTAACGTAGACCTAACCTTTATATATGTTATCTGATTGGGTCAAACTAATTAATTGTGTTAACCAAAGCTAAGTGAGATCTACGGACCTGATTCTGTATAATGTCATGATAAAATTTTAATTAGTTAAGCTGTTTGCCGTGTACGTCATGGCTTATCGATTTGATGAGGGATTTGGGCTTACCCATGTGAGGCTAAAAAGCCAAAAAGCAGAGGCTACCAAGAAAGCTCACGCCAAAGTCACTGTATCAGAACAGAAAGGGGCTCTCACAGGCTTATGGAAGAAATAAGAATATGAATGAACATGACCCCTCAGCTTTCCAAATGGGGTCCTCGCTCACATCACAAGATGACTGATCTCAATGTTTTTGTCCCAGGCAAGCAGAATCGAGCACGTGCTGTGGGTTTCCCAAGAAAGAAAAGAACGGTGCATATTAATTTGGTGTTCCAAATGTGGGCAGCAATAGCAGATTAGTATTAATTGCATGATAAGTTGAGTATTAATCACTAGCTTTTAGAAGTATTAATCAAGTTTTGGAAGCCGGACTGCTCACTAATTTAGAGAAATACCACTAATCACATTAACAGAAGGGCAATTAGCTGTCGCCGAAACTCAGGATTGAAACGTTTGCGAGTGATTTCGTTATTGAGCGTCTTGGGTTTTCCGACCATTTCATGGCCCCAACATGCTAAATTACGAATCAATTGGTAAGGAATGGAGAACTACGTCTGGACAATGCCTTTCACTAATTCACTGTGTAAATTTCTCTCCTGAAGGGAAGGAAATTTTTTTTTTGCGCACATACCCAGTGACCGCCACCAGAAGTATTAAATTCAGCGCCCCCTCCCAAAAACACACAAGAAGAGGGGAAAATACGGAAACTGGATCTTGATTCTCGACCAGGAGCCTCGTTTGACAAAATGGACCAGCAGGTTCCCTTGATGCAACAGCTTTCCCCAGAAGACATGCAAAGCCTACTCAAATGGCGCAAGTGAAATAAAGGGCATAATAAATAACATTTTAGCCCATAATTTTGAATTAATTATAAAATTGAGACGTAGATGTTAAAACGCAACAAATTTGGGAAGAAGACGTGCTGAGCACAGTCAGATGGCGCAAATGAAATAAAGGAAAGGTAAATGCAGATTAGGCTCACATGAAGTATAATCCAATTTAAAACTAATGCATAAACATTAAAACGTAACAAACACCATCATAAATTTCTAAAATGTAACAAACATCCCCATAAAAAGTGTTCAAGGGGTGTTGTGTGCTCTTATAAAGCTCGTGTGAGATTTTGCTGCGTTTTTAAAATTCACAGTGCATAAGAGTGAAGAGTGAATTGTACCTTCCCCTACAGACTTTCTTTCATAAGCTAAAAACTCGAGAAATAAAAAAGGAACCAAAACTGCTGGAACTTGGAAGTATTAACAGTGATGGTAAATTCACCAGCCTGGTAAAGATTATTTAACTCTCTCTTGTCTTTGCTTTTCTTGGCAAACCTGAGATCAGAATCAACTTCAACCTAGCAATTCCAATAGTTCACCCTTCTTCAATTTTGAAAATCCTTTCAGGCCACGTGACTTCGCAAGTGCCCTCAATTCAGACAGCTTCAGTGCACTCAAATCCTCATGCTGAATCACTTCTTTCCCATCTCCATTCCCACTGACGAAGGATTGTTCAGAATCATTTGTATCATCCTCAGCCAACTCATCCATCCCCACATCTTGGAAGAAAATATCATCCTTCGAGTCAGGTTCCAGCTCAGACTCGGCCTCTGAATCAGACGCAGGCATCAAATCTAGAACTGCTTTATCCTGATTTTTCTCTCCAACTTCACTACTTAGTGGGACTGCATTTACATTCTCCACATCGTCAGAGACAGGTTGGTATTTTATGCGAGCAATAGGAGACCTTCTTTGAAAATTTGATGGAGGCCTGGTGACAAATGGGCCATTGGCTTCTCGAGCCTCATCATCTTTTGCAGTACTATCCAAATCAGAGAACCTAAGGCTCTGTGCTTCGTTGTATTGGCCACTGTCTTGCTCCAAACTTGAATCTTTTCCCCTGACATTTCCACTGCTTCTTTTTACTTGTTCAACTGAGTGTTTCCTCAATAGTTTGAGGAGGGAATCTACAGTGCCATTATCTCTACCTTGCCCTTGGGAGGCTTCAGCCTTCTTTTCTACTTTGGTAGCAGCTCTCTCTTGCAAGCGAGCTTGAACTTTCCTAAATAGCTCAACAATCTCCTTCTCCTTAGGTCCAGGAGCTGCAGTAGCCTGGGATTTAGAGATGTTAGAAGAAGAAAGGGATGTCAATGGACCATTTTTTGAAGATAACATGTCTTCTTCGAAGTTCTCAAAGCTGCCTTTTCCTTCATTGTGTCTGTTCTTGCTTCGGGAGAAACCATGCCTGCTTTGCCTTGAGATATCTGGATTCCTCCTTGCTTCACACACAAAAGATGCTCCAACAGAAGCACACTTTAGCCCTTTAAAATTAACATGTGAACAAATTCTGTAATCACCTCGAGAAGAGCATGAATTCACAACAGCTGTTTTTCCAGAAACACCCAAACATGGGAGACATCTGCTGTTTGGCACTCCACAACCTGCACGATCACCAAAGAAAATTGAGGAATCAAAAAGTGAAAAGCAAACAGAAAAGTAAATCAGGTTTTTTTTTTTTAACAAAAAATGCACTAAATACCACCCTAGAAATCCATGCAAAGCCTCAAGCGATTAGCTAATGAAGGCCTTTGCATTTAAAATGACAAGGGAAAAAAAAAAAACATTAGAGCTCGAAGAAAGCCAGCTCAAACAGGCCGATCATTGTGAAACAAAAGCCTCCAATTCATAATTTTAGGGTGATCAAGGTCCAAGGCAGAAGAGGGTTCTAATTGATTGTGCTTGCGCCTAATTATATATAAGCAACAATTGTTTTCACTTCTCAATGAAACTCCCTGCATTGAATGAATAATGAAAAAAACAACTGCACAAAATGATGTCCATAAATTATTTAACATTTGCAAGACCAGGCCAGAGAAATTTCTTTAAACTAGAAAAACAGCTTAGGTTACTTCTTTTTTTCTATTGCATTCGTCAAATTGCTAAGAATAAGTGTCACATCCTCGCTGAATCACTTCAATAACAAATAGAAAATAATAGGAGAAAACCAAAAGCCACAAATACACAGAGAACATCTCTATCCCTTAACAAAATCTCAAAACGCCACTTCGCCAAAGCGATGAAAGGATGAACCACAATGACGCCAGTGAAGGAGAAACACCCTAAGAACCAGTCAACTTCAACGACATAATGCAGGGGAAAAATCATATATTCTACGACCAGTAACGAAGATCCCCGCCAAGGCATTCAAAAACATTAAGCCAAAACACACACAAAGGTTCAGCTTTCCATCCATCCAAAGAGAAAAACCGCCTTGGGCAAACAGTATCAAAACCCCTATGCTTAGGTTGCATTTTGAGGGCGAAGGAAGTAAAGATAGACTAGAAAAACAAACGAGGAAATAAAGCTCCTAATTTAGGTTACAACACTTTCTATTCATTCTGAGGAACACAAGAAAATAATTTGAAACAAAAACAATTAACGAAAGTTGAAGACCAACGGAGCCGAGACGCTCACCGGGAGTGGTATTGGCGACGGAATGCAAGGGTTGAGACATAGTTTGTCGAGCCGAAACACGAGTCAGTGGCGGTTCTGCATTTTAGTCACAACTCGCAGGGTTTTTCCTGCTTGAAAAATTGTGCCCTGCTGATAAGGGGCATTATAGGAATAAATTCTTCAAGGAGGGGCAATTCCGTGATGGTGCTGGCAATATTTCTAGCGGGCGCGTCTAGTGGAAGGAAATCTATGGTAACGTTGGCAATAATTCTTAGGGCCTGTTTGGATGACACTGGAAACCATGGTTTGGAAGCCCAAACCATGGTTTCCCCAAAATGTCATCCAAACAGGCCCATAAAAAATGTAAACCTTGGTTTAAGATGAAACCATGGTTTCACCAGAAGCTAATAATATTCGCTTCTGGAAAAAAATTTGGGACGGCTAATGGTCATTCCAAAAACACCCCAGATCTTTTTCTTCTCTTCGCTGGCCGACACTCCTCCTCTTCGCCGAACATTACTACTCAGCTCGAAGGTCGATTGGAAAAAATTTGGGACGGCTCTGGTAGGCAATTTCCAAAAACACCCCAGATCCTTCTCTTCTTTGCTGGCCGACACTCCTTCTCTTTGCCGAACGATCAGACTCAGCTTGAAGCTCGACCCTTCGCCCCTTATCATCAGCTCATCTCTTCGCCCCTTCATCATCAGGTTGCGTCTTCGGCCGTGCTTCATCGCCAGCTCGCCTCTTCGCCAGCTCGACTCTTCGCCGTCGCTGCTCTGAAACTCGACGCCGGTGAGATCGTCCTGGCCTCGCGAAAACAGGGGTGGTCGTGCGTTTCTCGGCTCGCCAAAACCAAAGGAAGCGTTGGGTAGTCCGATCCATCCATCCTCTGTCTCCAATCTTCGTTCTTCAGTTCGCCCGGTGAGGTCGGCTTGTGTAGTTCAGTTGGTCAGATCTTGTACTCAGGTTAGCTCTCTCTGGTGATTGCCCAAAATTTTGTTCACTCATGTATTTCCTCCATTCATTGATCTATCAGCTTCTTGCTTATGGTTCTGGTTCGGTGGTTCTAGTTCGGTCCCTCCTCTGTTTTCAGTTTGTCATCCGATTGCAAGTGATATGAATTTTTTTAGAACCGTGGCTATTAGTATTTTGACTGTGGTATGTTGAATTGGAATGATTTGGCTGTATATCCTCTTCAATTGCAAGCTTCCTCTTGGTTCTATTTTTGAATTTGCTGAACTAGGTTTTTGTTGTTCGAAGGAATGGTATGTTCGTTTGGTAAATTGCTTCTGATTTTATGAAACGAAGAGGGAACAAATTCTGGTAATCAATGTCTAGTTCTGGAGGCAGGGGACGTATATGGATGAGAAAGTCTGGCAATTGTTATATAAATTCAATGCAATTTGTTTTTCCTGTTGTTGCTTGGGATTGTTTTTTCTGTCCAGATTTCCCCCGGAGAAGAAGCCTGTGAAGTCGAGACTTTGGTTTTTTTTTTTTTGCCGTGGATAGTACTTGTGATTAATTAACATTATTTGTTAAGAGTTGATCTGATTTGGGATGAGATAAGAATTGTATTGTCCTGTATTGTTGCATTAAGGATTTTGATAAATTTATGGCCAACTTTTGAGAGTGAGGAAAAATGAAATCACAACTGAAATCCATGTATATATATTGAAGGAAGTGATTTGTATTTTGGTCAGGGGTTTATGTTGGTAGGCTTTTTTTATTTTCGGTTGACAAATCTGATAAGGATATAATTTTTAAAAAATATTATGAAAGGCTTGTGCAACATGTTATTTTTTAAAAACAATAATGTGCTTTATAATATTATTGCGTTCATCATGAACATTTGTATTAATTACACAGATGAACGAATTTTTTTCAAATATATTTGTAACACACAGTTATTCAAAGGTTAAGTACGAGATGATTTATAGTGCATGATAGTTCAAATATGGTTATTCTTATTACTTTGGCCTCTAATCGTCTTTCTACAATAGTTAAGAAAAAAAAGTATATTTAATTAACATGTTATTTTGGACGTTTTAAAAGTTTTAGTATTTTGAAGTAAAAACAGATAATGAAGTTTAGAAAGGAGGGGGTGTATTTTTTCCAACCATGTAAAATTAGAATTTTCTTGTGTTTGTTAATTTTTGTCACACTTGGTTTGGTAGGAAGGAATTGAGATTTAAAATGTGATCAACTTTTTCACCTATTACAGTAGACAATATGATTTTTGTTATTTCATATGATTTTGGGTTGATTAACTTGTGATGACTGAAGAGCTGTAATTGTGCTATAGCATAATGGGTAAGGATACGGTGAAAGCTTCCTGGGATCTAAGAACCACTAAAGTGTTTCTTGACCTGTGCATTGAACTTGTGCAACAAGGGGAAAGAAAGGGTACTAGCTTAACAAAGAAAGCTTGGGATATTCTTGATGATAAGTTTACTGCCAAAACTGGGAGAGTGTATGAAAAATCTCAATTTAAGAATAAATATGATTCCCTACGAAAGGAGTGGCAGACATGGTATAGGCTGCTTCGCGAGACAGGATTGGGATGGGATACTGAAAGGAATACTGTCAGTGCAACTGATGATTGGTGGGAGAGGAAAATAAGGGTAATTTTTTAACCTTTTGATCTTACATTTTCTTTGCCTGTTAATGTTTTGTGCATATTTACTGTTTTGTGAATATTTTATGATATTATTGGTGTCTAATGTGCAGGAAGTTCCAAACTATGAAAAATTTAGAGAAAGAGGACTTCAATTTAGGGATCAATTAACTCAACTGTTCGGGAGTGCGGCTGCAACTGGATCACAAGCATGGGCACCTTCTTCCATGACACTTCCAAATGAAGATTTGGAAGAAGGGTCCGGAGATAGTGATGAAATTTTAGGTGCACCAACTGGTATAAGCGGGGAATTTAACACAGTGAACTTCAATGATAATAGTGGAGGTAGTGGAGGCAACACTGAATTGAGGCAGGATAACAGTGGTGGGGGTACAAGCAGAGGTAGGAGTCGACCTAGTAGCTCACTGGGGGTTAGAAGAAACAGTAAAGTCAAGAAAAAACGCACATCTCCCTCTATGAAAATAGCGGATGCACTTAGCAAGATTACTGAAACAAATATTTCTGAGGCCGAGCGTGGAAATGAGGTCATTTCACGAGTGGAAGCTAGAAGGTTGGAAGAAGAAGCGCGTGCTTATGAGATTTCAATTAGGGGAGTCCTGTCTCACCTGAAAACAGTTCCTGAAGTTGTCAATGATCCTGATTTCTTTAGACGGTGCACACAACTCCTTATGGAACGCCCAGAGGCACGGGAAATGTATGCAGCTCTGAAGGATCAGAAGGAACAACTTCTTCCTATTTTGGAGTTTTACACTAGGGATTTATGACTTGTTTATTATATTAGACAGTTCCATATGTGTATCGTTTTATGTGACTAGTGGATTGTTATATGAATCAGACAACTCTGTAACTTTTATAAATGTTTCGTAATTTCTACGTAGGAATTCTAAACTTTATGTGTATGTGCACAGGATAAAACGAATATGGATGATGAAATTAAACATGTGGAAGAGCATGCTAAGGGACGAAAAAAAAGGGTTAACAAAGTTGCAGCATTGGTCGGTACATACGCTACTTTGAACTTGTGTAAGGAGCCTCGGCATACAAGTGCTTATACAGGTTGCTTATGGGTAAGGGATGTTTTACATGGCAACCCCAGTCGTTGCTATAACATGTTTAGGATGGAACGGGATGTGTTCTTAAGTCTGGTGGAACAATTGCAACAACACGGTCTGAAAGAAACTAAAAATATAGGGTTACATGAATCAGTTGCAATGTTTTTACATACCGTTGGCCATGCACTTAGTAGCAGAATGCAACAAGAAAGATTTCAACATTCAGGGGAGACAATTAGCAGACATTTTCATAATGTCCTAATGGCATGCTGTAGACTTGCCATGTCTAATATCAAACCAAAAGATCCAACATTCCGGCATGTTCATACAAAAATTCGGTTTGGTAAATACTGGCCTTTTTTTAAACATGCTATTGGAGCAATTGATGGCACACATGTTTCCTGCGTTGTCAGTGCAACAGATCAAACTAAATTTATTTCTAGGAAAGGAATAGTGTCACAAAATGTCATGGCGGTTTGTGATTGGGACATGTGTTTTACTTTTGTCTTGGCTGGATGGGAAGGTAGCGCACATGATGCTCGGATATTTGATCATGCCCTCACAACTCCTTCAATGAACTTTCCCCATCCACCTGAAGGTATTTTTTTTATTTCCTAAATTTTTTTATATTTAGCTTAACAATAGAAACATAATTTACAATAATTTCATTTTTTATATAGGAAAATATTATTTGGTGGATGCTGGATACCCAACACCGAATGGATATCTCGGCCCATACAGACGGGAGCGTTACTATCTGCCTGATTTTCGAAGGACATCTGGGTTTGAAAATGACAATGAGATCTTTAATTATTTCCATTCAAGTTTAAGGAGTACAATTGAAAGAACTTTCGGAGTTTGGAAAAAAAAGGTTCGCAATCTTACAAAACATGCCATCCTATGAGTATGAAACACAAGTTAAAATCGTTTGTGCGACGATGGCTATACATAATTTTATTAGAACGACATCTATTACTGATCCTGGATTCGTTCAGTTGGAAGAAGAAGGTACTTATGCAGAAGATGATGATGATGGGGTTAGATTTTCACGTATACATTTGTCAATTCAATCTTCATCTTACATGGCTCAGGTTCGTGACAGCATAAGAGACGAACTTGTTAATTCAATACGAGGATAGTAGTCATGTTTTATTTATTTCCTTTTATCATAGATTGTAATATGTAGTTAAAAACAAAACCTATTACAAATGCTTTGTATCGATGTATCATCTTAATGATTATGACACTTTTTTATTTATATTTCTTTTATTAATATTATACCTTATATTCTCAAGCTAATTATTACTTACTTTAATAATTAATAAATTGTTTTAAGACGTGTTTATTTTATTTCATCAAACAATATCATCCCATTTTATGTTTATAATCTTCATGAAAAATACATGACTTTATGTTTGCAACAAAATAATTC